TCATAGGCTGAGGAAGAGCTAAATCATGAGAGAAGTCCTCATTTTCTTTTGGACACATGGCTTCCTGGAACAGTCAACCTTTCTCATTAGCTCTGTAGCTAGTTGTTCCCACCTCACTGTTGCTGAGGATGAAATGAAAGGTGAAACGGGATGTGCGACCTCAGGAAAATGTCCTTGGGTGTGAGTGTGGCTTTCTCTTGCTCTTTTGCTGCTTTGCTCCTGCAGTGCAGACAAGATTGCAGAACTGTGGCTGAGCAAGAAGATAAAGGAGGTGTCCGTTTCACTTTGCGAGGCTTTGCAGGGCCCTACAGCCCCGGCTCACCAACTGCTAGGCTTTCGCTTGGAAAAGAAACTTCTACCTTCTGTAGCTTGTCATTTTGTGTTCCTTTTGCTTGCAGCCAAAATAAATCCTAGTTCATACCGAATGTATGCATCACTTTAGAGAACATTTTTTGCCTTAACCAACTGTTTTTCTCATTAACTGAGTAACTATCAATTCCAATCAGATAAGGCTTTTACTGAGTAGGAAAACAGAAGATCACTCTGAATATCTACATACCTTACATACTCACTCCACTTACATAACAATTACGACTGAGATGTGTATCATTCTACAGAATCCTTGCCATACCTCTGTGTGTTTGTTGCTTTTTTTCTGTAGAAGTGATATCTGTAAATAGAAATACTGGATTAATGACATATATATTCTATAAGGCAGTTGATAAATATTATCAAATTTCTTTCCAGAGAGAATATGTCAATGTACATCAATCGCATGGTGGCATACCTGACTCAACATACTTTTGTTAGAGTTTAGTACTAGGGCACTGTTACTTTTCACCTAATTTCATGGGTGAAACACAAAACATGATGAATCTGGTGATTGTATATCTTTTTAAGTATTGGATTTGTATAGGCAGAGCATATTTTCTTACTTTTATTGGCCACTTGTATTTCTTTTGTGAACAGATTATCCATGTTCTTTTTCTAACTTTAATTCTGCTGGAGATTTTAGTGTATTTCTTTTAATATGAAAAGAACTCTTTGGTTAGGGAATTCTGATAGTTATTAAAATATTTTAATTTTGATATTCTATTTGGGATAGCTTTTTAAAAAATATTTTGGGAAGTTCTTTTACATTTGGTAAATATTATTTTTTTTCCCCATTTCAATGGAGTTAAAGTCAATAGTGAGATCTTTTTCAAAAACCACTCTAGCAAACAAAGCTACCATGTATAATAGCATCTCTACTCAAACATCTGTGATGCTATCTTGTCCCTGAGAAGAAGGTGTTAAATGTAGCTGTGTAGCAAAGAAGGTGCAGGACTTACTTGATTTTATTTTTGTGGAAGGTTCACCTTAAAAAAAATATTGGCAAGAGTAAAGAATTTATTGACAATAAAGTGAGATACTTTATATCTTAAATATGAAAGACTATGCTCATCAGGTTAAAAAAGACTTGAGATAGCTGCTGTAAAAATTGCTATCTTAACATTTGATTAAATCATATAAACAATTAACTTATTTTTTTTCTTTCCCTTCTGTTCTTTAACCATCAGTTATCTTTACTCACTTTTTTTTCTTTCCTTTCCATTTTTGGTTCTCCCTCTTTATTTAAAAATTTTTTTTATTGCTTATTTGTGGTAAACTCCTCTTTGGTGAATCCTTTCAATTACTTATTTAACTTAAATGCTTACTTTTCAGTTAACATTTCATATTTATTTAACTTAATATGATTAGTTTTCAGTTAATATGTTACATATTTTGATAAATATATTAATTCCAGTTTGAACATTCCTTTTCTATATTCTTCCAGATCTGTAAAGTTGTGATAAGGCTGATGCTAAAAACTGGCCCACAGGTGCTGTTCATATTTCAGCATGTAACACATTTAGTACCTATACAGCACCTTTCATTCTACATTCTGTCATTTTATATTTTTCTACGTATATCCATTTGGGAGATGAATTGAGTAGTTTCAATCTTGCCTTCTTTACAAATAAGAGCCTCTTGTCACAATTGGGTTGAGTCTCCTCTTTCCAAAATTATTTAAGTAACAAGTGACTCCAGCTGTCAGTTTGTATTTTCTTTAAGTACTGAGGGGAGTTCATGGATGCCCTCTATTAGGCAAATTCAAGTAGCCTAACTTGAGCCTGTGAAAATCTAGTTGGTCAGAATTCAGCAATATCATAAAACCCCCTTCTCAGGGGCTGTGGCTATAGAGTAATATGTTACACAGATGATTAAAATTTGGAAATTACATTCAAGGAAGATCCTATCATCTAGGGAGGCCCAGAGACCAGCCACTATTTTAAAAGATCAAGGAAAAGGCAGAATGAAATAGGTGTCATTGCAGAGATACCACCAAAGTGCTCTGGGAATATAATGGCAGGGTGACTATTTTAATTGGGGCTGGTGAGAAATCCTGCTTGGAGCACTTGGCACTGGAACTGAGCTCTGGAGAATGAATGGGATTCTGATGGTCACTTGTTTCGTGTATGGTCGGTTCATTCTAATGAGGTCTTAGGTTCTTCAGGCATGCTGAAGTTGAAGTTCCCTCCCTGACAGCCCTGGACGGGTATTAGATCATTCTGAATACATATGTTCCAATACAATTTGGATATAATGCGCTTGTTAGATGTATATAAAAAAATCTCAGTTTCTCTCACAGTCGTAACTAGGATTGACTGATTCATGGAGTAACAACACCGCAGCCATTTCAAAAGGAAAAAGACCTTAGGGATCAGCTACTTAACCCTTTCAGTGACAAAGCAGGGACAAAGGGCTCAGTAATGGACCAAGGTCACTCCGTTAGCTCGCGCGGACTTCCTCCTATGGGAGGGCATTGCTGTGGAGCCGGCACCTTTCTACATCTATTACGATCATCTTTTTCTGGTATTGTGAAAGAAAAATCATGGAATCCCGCCATTGGATTACCAGGGAAGAACGCTCTAGAGTCTGCAGTGAACTTGCACGTTGGGATAAGTTTGAAGGCACGTAAGGTGGACCGAGGGCGGAGAGCGCCGGACCCGGTGCCCGCGCCGGGAACTGTGCG